GTAATATCTTGTCTCGTATGTGACAGGTAGATGATTTCTCCTACCAATCTTTGATATCGTTTTTTCTTCATAGAGACACCTTCTCTCTCCCTCCCCCCTGACTTTTGGTTGGGATCGATTGGAGTGCCAACAAAATTGCATCTAAGCATCCCCGTCGCTTTTAGTAGATCTTGGATGTATTTTCTTTGTGATATAACATCCTTTCTTAAACCGTACTACCTCCATATATAACACATATCTCATGATTCCTAGGTCTTTGATTTCAAACTCTGTGGCAAACATTTCTTTGATCATGAAAATCTCTCTTTCGTCATCACCAAGAAGAATCATGTCATTCACATATACTTTCAGTGCAACAATATTATCTCTTTGAGTATGTTTTACAAACGATGTTTGATGCAACAAATCTTTCAGTACAATAAATCTTTCAAACCATGCTCTTGGTGATTGCTTAAACTCATATAGAGACTTTATGAGTTTGCATTCTATGTGTTTATTGGAACTATTCTCAAGTCCTGATGATATCTTCATATATACTTCTTCCAAATTTCAATTCAAAAAGTTTTTTTATGTTAAGTTGATGCAGTCTCCATTTCTTGTTAAATATTACTGAAAGGAGAACTCTAATATCGTTAAGTTTGGCAACTGGTGCGAAGGCTCCTGATAGTCAATCCCATATGTTTGAGTGAAAATTTTTTTGCAATAAGTTTGGCTTTGAATCTCTCAATACTTTCATCAACTTTGTATTTGGTGTTGAACACCCATTTACACCCAGCAGATTTCTTATTCTCATGGAATTTAGTAAGAATCCATGTGTGATGATGCTCTAGTACTGAAATCTCTTCTTCAATTTCTTTTCTACATTCTGGATATTCAAGTGCTTCATGAATTGATTAAGGAACCTACATACTATCGTGGTAAGAAGCAAAAGTTTTGGAGGATGAGGATAGCTTCCCATAAGCTATATACTATTGAATTGGATTTCTAATATAACTTTTCTTATCACCAGCATTAGAAGAGGAAGGAAATAACTCGTGCGTACTAGACTCCCCAACGCCTAAAATTTCAGTTGAATGTGGACATGAGTTTTGGTTTGAACATTTCTGTCATTGCAAGTTGTCTTCCACTTGCTCAAGGTTTTTCTTCCTCATTGTGTACACACGAAGTTTTTTTTTTTTGAACTTCAGGCTGGGTTGGTTGGGTTGATTGGATGTCCTCAACTAGGATAGGAGGGCTAGATGGAGTAGGTGGTGAGACTGTGGTGTCATTGGGGTAGTATGATTGATTTTCAAAATTTTGATATCCATGAAATTGTAGTGTTTTTCGGTAATAATAGGAGAATGACACATGCCCATTTTTGTAGGTGACATACCCAAGAAAAATATACTTGATAGATTTATGATCAAGTTTTGTGCAATTTTTGGTAGTTTTAAACAAAGGATACATACCCAAAGATTTTAAGTGGGATAGTAGAAGAGAAAGCTCCGATGTGAGGATGTGTAACCATCAAAATATGAAGATGTGCTTTGAAGTCAAGTACCGGACTTGACATTCAATTAATAAGATATGTTGCAGTAAAAATTGTTTCCCCTAAAAATGTTTAGTTTTAGGGTTATTGTCAATAAATGAGACAAAACAATCTAGCCTCACCTAGGATTTTCATCTTTAAAGGTCTCCAAATATCACTATGTATAATATATTATCCTGGGTCATAGGATAAATATTTCTAGTATTTTTGGCAAGTTAACAAATCTCACATTGATAAAAATTGAGGGATTTTATTTATAAACAAATGGGGATATAATTTTGCAACATTATTGATATTAGGATGACCTAGACGATAATGTCATGATATGATCTGGTTATTGACAGACAGACTCAACACTCAATACTTTGTGTGTTTAGAGAGAGACTTTTCTTGAGCAGGTGTTAGCTTTGATACATTTCAATACCGTCAATCACCTTCCCAGAATTCACCACCTCAAATTCACAGGAGTTTGCAAGAAATTTAGTTACACATTTCATATCATGATTAAACTTACTGATAAAAATCAAACTGAAATCTATTTGTGGAACATATAAAACAGAGGAAAGAGCGAGCTGAAAGAGTGATCTCCTGAGAGAGTTCCACGTCTTTTATAAGTGTGATTCATTTGTAAGTTTGATTTAAATGTATAAGTCTTTTGATAGTTGACTAGTGCATTGATTTCTCCAATCATATAGTCAGAGGCAATTGAATCTATGATCCAAATTCTAAATTTCCCATTACTGGCAAGATGAGAGAATAATATATTACCTTGGTGTGTTTTTCTAAAGTACCTTCCTGTAGTTTTACAGAACTTCAAGATGTTACTTGGTGAATGGTTTAGTCAATCGTTCGGTTTTTTCTCTTGATCTTTTTTCTCTATCCCGATTTCCAATCTGCAGGCTTTCCATGAAGTTTCCAATATTTTTCTTTGAGATGCCCTGTCCACTTGCAGTAGTCACATGCGGGACAATTCTTCTTGAGCTTTGAGTCGTGAGAAGAATTATAAGTGTACACGGTAGAGCTTTCAATATTTGGTGAACCCCCATTTCCACTTAGCATCGGCTTCTTTGTGCTCTCTTCTCTCCTGACTTCAGCAACAAGATGCTTTATTTCCATGATCTTCCCTCCATTCAATTCTTCAGTTAATCATACTAGGAATTTTATAGTTCTCTTCTTCTCGATGATGGATTTAAAAATCCCCACACGTCTCAAAGATATGCAATTGTAGTCAATACTTTTTCTAGGTATTGAAGTATTGGATGACACTTTCGGTCTCGATTTTAAGCAATTATGCTATACTTTTAGTGGTGGAATATGTTTCTTTTGCAGCCTCTCAGATCTCTTTAGCAGTTTTGCAGGCAAAAAATGTTAGCTTACTTCGGTTGTCATTGAATTAATTGACCAACTAAGAAATGGCCATATATGGTCGTGAATCTTCCATGTGCGGTGGTCGTGAAAAGTGATCTCAGGAACTGTGTTCTCTCCCTTGATATGTTTCTCTTTTCCTTTACCATAAATATATATAAGCCCGTATTGAGACCACTGAAAGAAGTTATAAACAATGAGTTTATGATTTTTAATAAAGTTAAAGAGTTCAGGAGCCCTCCGGATAGAATCCCCAGTCCCCGACTCGGAAGTACTAGATGTCTTCATCCCGTTCTTGGTCTTGAATTATATGCGTCTTGAGGAGTGCTGCTGCTACTGTTACTCCTTGCTGCTGCTACTGTTACTCCTTTGCTGCTGCAGCTGCTGCTTTTGCTTCTGCTTGCTGCCGGCCGCTTCTGTAATTGCTGCCACTGCTGCTGCTGCTTCTGCGTTGCTGTCCGGTGACTGCGGCGGCGGTGGCTGCTGCTGTAGGGGATTCCAGCAAAGGAAAGTAAGTGCTGTTGCTGCGGCTGCTGTAAGCAGGAATCCAGGCAAAGGAAGGTTGATGCTACAGTTGTGGCTGCTTTAGGCAGGAATTCTGGTAAAAGAATGTTGATACCTCGGTAGATTCCGACAAAGGAGGAGCTTTCAGTAGGGAATTCACGCTGCAGGAAGGAGTTCCGGAGGCAGAGAAATGCAGTGGCCTGCTGCACAAGAATTTAGGCTGCAGGGAGAAGTTCAGCTGGTTCAGAAGGGTCAGCAGGACAAATAATGGCAGCCAAGAAGACAGGGGAAGAGCCTACACCCTGCAGTGAGGAACCGGCTGCTGTACAGAGGAGTTTTCTGGCTTGCCTGCAGGCTGAAAGAGAGGGGTTGAAGAGGTTCCGGCAGCAAGGAAGCTAGGGTTTAGGTTCAGATCTCTGATACTATGTTGAAAACAGGTTTTGGGATGAAAAGAGAGAAAAATTCATCAATCAGAAGTATGGTACATGTATAAGGAAACCAATCTCTTATTTACTAACTTACTAAATATATCTATCCTAAGTTAGGGAAGGAAATAAATTTGAAATAAAAACATAGAATATGAGGGGGATAGAGTAATGAAGAGTTTCCTAAGTTAATCCGAATAAAATCTTTCTTATTTCGGAATCTAGTGGCTGGCCAACATGATGAAGAAAGTGGAAAAACTGGATCTTAAAAAAAAAAAAAAAAAAAAAGAAAGACCCTTAGTATGCCTCCTTTTCGTAATATTGCTTTATATGAATTCTATTTACTTGCCTTATATGCCTCTTTATCTTTTCTAGATACACGAATCACCTCATTCTATTTTTCTTTTTTTTATCGTTAATATGTGATACCCCATCTTCCCTTCATTTTTGTCAATTTTCACTCTTAATAGTTTTTACCGCATACCATTTTAATATTCTCATTCTTACCACAATTTTCTTGTTAATACCTTCATGGGTTCCCATCACATGAAATCATAAATCATATGCAATATAATTGGTCTTTTAATGAAATTTACCAGTCTTTATGATTCACTTATCTACTTTAACTACGGAAAAGATCGTATAAGGCTTGCAAATCTGCCCATAGTAATTTAATCCCTAGAAGGTTTACTTCAAACATTCGTTTTCTTCTTTTTGACTTTATACTGTATTTATCATCAAGTGCGAAAAGAGCTCCTAGAGCGCACAAACTTGTTTTAATGTCATTCTAATTATGAATATAACCTGCAGGTTATTCATTTTACTTTGGTTTGCTCATTGCTGGCCGATATTTTTTTTGTTATTTTTTGTTGTTGAATGAATAATACGAACATGAATTGAGCAATTGAACTGAAAAACACAAAAATATGCTTTTACACATTTCTACGCACATCTCTATACCTTTTGAACTAAAATGCACAAAACTATGTTTATATAGCATTTATTATTGATTCTGCCACCTGTGTACGTTTAACATTACATGATAGTGGATGCTCAAGTCACTTCGACCATTCTCCATGTTCTGACCTTGTCATTGAAAATGCTTTGTTTTCTCGATCTTTTATTATATTTTCAAGAAGTTATCAGTCATGCATGAGCTGACATCCGAGGTTTGGTAGACATAATCATTGGAGAAAAGCATCTCCTTGGTTAACTGGTTTGAGTCCAAGGGATCTGATTAGACCTATTGATGGTGACGACGGCTTTTATCCAGTTGGAAATGAACTGGTAGCTTTCATATCATATTCTCATCGTTTTTGGTTGTTTCAGTTTTTTTTTTTACTTCTTGAAATTACATCTTTCTTTTACCTTGTAGAAACCAGAAATTGTGAAGTCTAATCGCAAGTACCGGATGCATGTGTTGGTTTGTGCTCCATCTAATTCTGCACTTGATGAGATAGTACTGCGAGTTTTGTATGGAGGTTTGAATCTTGCTCATCCATGTTGCTCACATCATCATTTTTTATGCTAGGTTTCTTTTGGATAATTTACAGATTATATTTTTTTCCTTCTTCAAAATTATTTATTTAGTTATTTTATTTATTTTTCTTTTTTTGATGTCTAATTGGTGGATCTACATGTTAACAAAGGGTTAAATAGATATCTACCTATTATACTGCCTGAAAAGTGTTGTTGTATATGAGGATAAAAGTTGAACTGACATTTGTTTGCAGGTATTCATGACGAAAATAACCATGTCTACAATCCCAAAATTGTGCGAGTTGGGGTGCAACCACATCATTTAGTGCAAGCAGTGTCCATGGATTACCTTGTATGTATTTTTTCCTCAAGTTAGGGTGCCAATTCATATTATTATTGAGCATAAATTCATTCTTAACAGGTAGAGCAAAAGCTTGCAACTATGGACCTTTCAACATCTACTGGTAGAAAGTCTGGGGAAAGTATGAATCGGGATATGATTCGTGATTCAATTATTGATGACTCAGCTATTGTAGGTTCATCTTCTGTCATAAATATTTTATTATAGATTTTTTTTAATCATTAATTAATCTTGCAGGTGTTCTCCACTCTTAGTTTTAATGGTTCATCACTTTTCAGCCGAACCAAAGACATATTTGATGTTGTTATAATCGATGAAGCCGCTCAGGCTGTACGTGTGTTACTTTACCTGCCGGCATGGATTAAATTTGTTCTTTTAATTCATCATGGTGCTGTTTGCTTGCCTGAAAATTTTATGACAAGAATAACTCATCTTAAGAAGTGAATGCCGCCTATTTGTGTGCTTTCAATTTTTTTCTTACACAGAGTAAATAAGTAACAGTGCATAAAGTGGACGAATGTAAATTAATTGATTCCACTTTATGGCACACTGATCACTGTGAAGTAAGTTTACATGCATTTGTTCACATCAATGACGTTCATAGTCTCTTATGGTATTCTAAACAGCCCCATGGGGTTTTTAATTGTATTAACGTACCAATGATATAACTAGGGTGGTTATTTGGGTAAAAATCCCTGCAGCATGATTGTTATTTTTTTTTTGAAAAATGACATCTAATTTCAAATTTTGATAAAAAAACATAAACGATGGTTTATCTCTGCATGCAAGGATAAATAACTTTGATCAGTCCATGTTCATAATCATTTAAGTCTTAAATACATTAGATATATTGGAAACTTCAATTTAAATCGAGCTGCCTTGAAATTGATATTATATGCATGTGTGCGCACACATATCACACACACACTCAAAATTTTTAATGCAACACTAGAAAAAGTCATCAAAATTTTAAATTTCACAAGATACTTGCTTACAAATATAAACCATTGAACAATTTAGGAGTCACAATGGAAAAAGAAAAACATCATGCAATGCAACAAACTTGGCGAAGTTTCAATCATGCACATAAAAATAATCACAAAATATTTTGTTGAAAAAAAGGAGGATAAAATTCACCAAATTGAAAATTTAAGCCTCGTGTTGGTACAAAAATGTATCTCTTGTAAGTTATTGTTAAAATTTCCAACACACTCGAAGCAATAGTGTTCAACTAGCACATAAATTTGAGAGATAAGCATTTGATTCAGTAATTCATATCCTAGTGCTTTGGAGAGAGCCGAACATGGTTGTTTGACATTTTTTCCTAAACTGCAAATTTCAATGCAACCAGCATCAAATCAACAAAATCTAATATTTCTTCCCTTGCTCAGGCTGCCAACTAGTTGTTTGTGGATCCATATATGACTACAAATTTCAATGCAACCAGAGTCTAAACAACTAAATCTAATCTTTTCTTCCCTTCCTATGTTTCCAACTAGTTATTTGTGGATCCATCTATGATCCGAGATTGTAGATGGGGGACACTAAAAATTTTGTGGCGGAAAATAGCTGCACAAGACAAATGGCCCACTGTAACGTAGAACATTTATAGCCAGAGCAAGTGAAACACCATCTTGTGGCATAAGCTATAGTAAGAATAAGATCATCAATGACTGGAGGGAAATAACCTATCAGTACAAGGACATCAATTGAAGCCAACTAACTCAAAAATAGATAAGCAAAACAAATTGAATCTCATAGCTACAAGAGGAAGAGAAGATTTGGCAATTCATTATACTTGACGAGAGTTAAATTGAAACAACTTGTAGTATTAAAACAAACTAATTAGCTCATCAAAATTCAAAAGAACATATCCTATTTTTGTAGGCACCAATGGCCATTTTATTTAAAAAAAAACTAAAATAAAAATATGACAATTAGGACAATGTCAAAACTTATTTTCCTTTTGTTCGTGCCAATGTTTATATGTTACAATTTCAACGTGGATAAATTTTTATATTTCCATCAAATTTGTTCAACTTGAAAAAATTTGACTTTGAGAGTTGAGCATTTTGTATGCATCAAGGACATTTGGGCATAACTATTGTGCTTCTTACAAGATAATACATAAATCATGACAAGTAAATACATTCCTTAATTCTCAAAAAAAATCTATGATACCTATCATTAGTAATGACTAAATTCTCATTAACTAGGGTAGCTTTGGGGACAAGATGAGTATATCTGTTTAGTCAAGTTTTGTGGACTAAAGCACAAATATTTGAGTTGGAATTTAATATGAGATGAGAATTAAATTTGCTTGTGATAATGTTTACTTGATTTTCTGCCCATAAAAGCTTTATTTGTTCATAAGAAGATTTAACATGTGATTAAATACTAAACGTAAATAAATCAACGAGAAGGTATCTCAGTGCAATCAAAATATTTAACTAACTTTCATAATTGGCAAGTCTATTATGAAGGGTCATCTAATAATTCAACAATTAATTACATTTTCTTATATAAATAGTTCTATAATGATAACTATTGATATGTTTAATATAGCAACGTCCAAATAAAACAAGTAATGACATGTTAGATGATCGTTCCTAAATATATTGCTCTTTGGTCCAAAGAACTGTTTCTCTAAGAGATGGAAGAGGGGTTGGCGTCAATAAAGGTCGCGATGGTGAGATAGACTTACGCATCCCTCTAGGTACACCCATGAGTAGAAATACACTATATTCTAGTGATCAACGAGGTGATCGATTCTTTTCAGGAGAAACTATAGAAGCTATCAGTGGTGGGTCAATCTTTGGAGATGGAAGCTTTGTAGCTTGTTTCCAATTTATATTATAAATTAGTTCAGCAAGATGGACAAGAATCCCATAACATTATAGTTGTGGTAGTGGTGGCAATATGAAGTTAATGTGTACCGAGTGAATAAGTGGACGCTAACATTAAGGACTCGAGGAACATCTGCTTTAATAATCTTAACAACTAGTAGAGTCTCGATATCGTCATAGGCAATGGGCATACCTTAGTGTATGATCAATTATGTGATGGTCTTACAGTAGAAGTAGTGAAAAGATAGTCAACCTGTGGTGAAAGCTTTAGTGTAGGAGATTGCAGAATAATTTCTGATTGTAAAGTTTCAGAAGAAATAAAACGAGAGAGGCTCCATAGACTCGGATGCATCTTTAGTCAACATTATCATCCCTCTCAGGTGCTTTTAGACCTAAAGTCATCTTCATGCCCAACCTAAGTTGGTTCTATCCAATTTCCAGGGATCCGGATAATCTTTTTGATGCTGAATCATTTTGTGCTTATGCTTTATGTAAGATTTGTTGTTTTGCAATTTTAGTCCTTCCATTTCTTTGTAAAATTCATGTTGGTTTTTTTTCATGGTGAGAACAATTTATATAAAATGCTGACGTACAATTATGAGCAGAAGGCTGATAATATTGATGCTGATATGGTGGAAATGAATAGCTTAATGTAAGTGCATTGCTCTTGGGGCCTTGGGTACCCTAAAGATTTTGTTTTACGATCATCAATATATTTTGATGTAGGAAATGAGGCTTCTTAGTGTGCCACATGATCTAGATCAGTATTATGATAATTGAGCAGATCGATAAACAAACTCTACAGGGTGTCAATGTAAAGTGAGGAAAGTGCCCTTACTATGAAGAATGAGCATGATAATAAGAACCTTGAGTCATGTGATCATCATCTCAACTAGATAAAGACATTTTGAGTTAAATTGCATGCAAATGGTTGTGTAGAAAAGAGAGGTTCATTCATATAAGGGGGCAATTTTGTGTTCTTTAAGCTACATATTTCAGCTATAATGATAAAATTTGTTTGTAGCAAATTTCTAGGAGTTGATGAGGGCTTTAGGCATGAGGGTAGGCTCGCTTCCCATTAGATAGGAATTTAATTTATGTTTAGGAAAAAATTACTATGATCATGTTTAGAAATATTTAAAGGCTTGATTTAGGGAAAATTTTGTGACTGGTTAACGGCAGAATTTTTATGTGGATTTTCATTTGGATAATGTCATTATTGCTGTAATCTTTTCATATAAATCTAGGATTGTGGTGTAAATTTGAGGAAGTGGGGTTTGAGGAAATACAAAAGATGCGAGTCTTTTCAGGTTAGAATGAACTTTAGTTGAAATATGGAAAGGGTTTGAAAAGAGACACCTTATATTGGGTTGTAGTAAAATGCAAGAATATGTTTGACAATAATTGCATATAAAAAAATAGCAAATTGTCAAATAAAAAATAGTTATAGAAAGTTTTCTACGTGCAGTTTTAAGGAATCACACAAATGTTGATTTGAGCAATGTCTATTTATGATTTTCTTTTTGTTAACTAAATTACATTTAAAATTCAATGCAGGAATTTGGATGTTGAGGGTGATGCTTGGTTGGTAACATGGGTTATGACACTTTGAAGAGAAATCCCGTTTAATAGGTTATATGTAGAAAATACCAACAAGGCGAGGTTTGAGCAACCTGGAGATACTGGCATCATGTTAGGCGCATGTTGTCAAGGTGGATTGAGTGTTTTCTGTGAGCATGATGATATGGCTTTGAAGCAAAATGAGTTAATTCCTGTCTTTGGAAGAGCTATTGCACATCATTGTGCTCACAATTTGGTGAAGGGTTGTGATAGTGCATGAGTAACGGGGCTACATGATTGCTAGAAGAAAGATTGTGATTGATTGATGGATGGAGATGGATTGTGCACCTAGAGTTAGTGTAGAGTACATCGTGATCAAGGTGTAGTTAAGGCGTATGATTGAAGTGAAAAAAATGTCCACAAATTTTTTGGTCATGGAGTAAATTCTGATTAGAAAATAGAGAAAAAGGATCACGATTAAAAGATAATGTAGAGGATAGGGAGGGATATTTTTTTTAAAAACCAATTGCTTTTATTAATTAGATAAAGAGAATAGTATATCAAGGGCAATTATTAAAAAATGCCAAATTAAAAGGAGAAATACAACTAGATAATATATTGATCATTTGGATCGTCTAGCTTTAAGTGCATTGGACCTTGGCAAGCAACAATACATTTTCCTTTGATTCTTATCCGTTTTTGTTTAAAAAATATGAAGTCTTTTATCCGTTAAAGATTCAACATTCTGAATGCTTCAATCAGAATCTTGTAGTAAATGATTGCCACTCTGTTCACAAATTGTGTGAAGTGGCTTTTCTAGAGCTTGCAGAGTATTCTTAGTGGTAATATTAATTGTTGTAGAGATTAACACCAAGGGACTAGAAGGAGCAGGAATATCAATAAGTGATCATGCTTTATGATTTT